AGTCTAATGGCAAAGGGTTTTACCCAAAGAGAAGATATCGACTACAAATAAACATTCTCACTAGTTCCCATGCTTACATCAATTCAAATCCTTTTATCAATTGTCACTTATAAAAAATATCAGGTTTGGCAAATGAACACCAAGACAGTATTTTTAAATGGACATCTTGACGAAACCATCTACATGATGCAACCTGATGGCTTCACGAAAGAAAGCTATAAAAGGAAAGTTTGCAAGTTGCAAAGGTCCATTTATAGACTGAAGAAAAGGTCTAGGTTTTAGAATGTAAGATTTAATCAAACCATTAAGACCTATGGTTTAGAACAATATCTAGATAAACTTTGTGTGTACAAACATATACAAGGAAATAAAGTAGTTTTTCTGATTTTTTCTATGGATGATATTCTACTCACTGGAAATAATTTAGGGACATTGTCATCTGCAAAAAAATGGTTGTCACGGTAGTTTGATATGAAGGATTTGGGAGAAGATAGTTTTATTTTGGAAATCCGTATCTTATGGTATAGGAAAAATAGATAGATATCATTATCCCAAGTTTCATATATTGACAAGATATCATCTAGATTCGTAATGAAAAATTTCAAAAAAGATCAACTTACTTCTAGACATGGAATCAACCTATCTATGGAGCATTATCCCAAAACTCCAATGAAGATAGATTACATGAAGAAGATATCTTATGCTTTGGATGTGGAGAGCCTCATGTATGCTACGATTTGCATTAAATAGGATATTTATTATGTTGTGAGTATTGTTAGTCACAATCAGTCTAATTTGAGACCAAGACATTGGATAGTGATGAAGCATATACTCAAGTACCTTCGAAGAACGAGAGATTATATGCTTGTCTATTCAAAATATGGTCTGAATCCTATTGAATATACTAATTTCGATTCTCGATTCGATCATGACTCTAGAAAGTCCACATTGGGTTCAGTATTTATATTAGTAGGTGGAGCCTTGGTATGGAGGAGTATCAAGCAATCTTATATTGCTGATTCCACCATGGAGGTGAAATGTGTAGCTACTTGTGAAGCTGCTAAAGAAGCAGTATTTTTCAAGAAGTTTCTTTTTTTACCATGGTATGGCAACTTTTTGTGATAATAGTTGAGCGGTTTCCAATGCTAAAGAGCCAAGAAGTCATCAGCGTGGCAAACGCATTGAGAGAAAATACCACCTTAGTAGAGAGATAGTTCATCAAGGAGAGGTAACGATTAGCAAAATTGCATTAATAGATAATCTTGTAGATCCATTCACCAAGAGATTATCAACTAAGGTTTTCAATGGGCATCTTGAGAAGATGGGTATGCTTGATATGTTACATATACTCTAAAGTGCAAGTGAGAGATTGTTAGTCTGATGCCCTTCTAGTAGTATTTTGTAAAATGTTATTATGAATTAATATTCAATCATTCGTGTGTTATAATTTGAAACAATTATTTAAGGTTCCATGATCATATAAGATGTAATAAATTGTATACTCGATGGTTCGAGTATAATGAAACACAATTTGTGACGTGATCAAAATATATCGTTCACAAATGGTGCATAAAGTTGGAATCTTTACGTTGAAAAAATTGCATTGTTCTTATTAAAAAAATGTATAGATTTGGGAATAATAACAATAATGTGTTTTGATAAATATTGAACGGGACCGCGTAGATGACTCATTTGTGGCCTTTCAGAAAGAGATTACTCGATTATCAAACGAGTCACATAAATTCTGAGCGAGGATGTACTTTTGATTTGCTAGTTCAAGTTTTCTGAGGTACCAATAAGTGAAGTCTTAATTAGAAGATTGATTTTGGTGCTTTGGAAATTAGGATGAAGCAATTAGAGATCATAACGATGAATCGATCGCCACTCTGAGTCATTTTTTATAGACAGTTGAACGTAAGCTCAATAGACTAATGATAGGATCGTTGGACTCTATGTAACCATAGATTGAGAAGCGTTTGTGGGGTATCATCAATTTTCAGCTGGTACAAAGTGGATATACGTTGACAACGATGATAGAGTAGAGGTGAAAGGGATCAGTACATATAAGTTAAATTTGCATGGTGCCCATACTATTCTCCTTCATAATGTCCTGTTTGCATCGAAGATACGAAGAAACTTAATTTTTGTTACTTTTTTTAAGATAAGGATTTCATTTGAACTTTTGTGTAGCGCTATTTGTATAAACAATGGTAATGCATTTTGTGGATCTAGACATGTAGAAGGTATTTTTTGTAGTATTGGATTGTGATCCAAATACTTATAATTATTATGTTGATCGTTATTTTTCTATAAATATATCTTTTTCTTCTAAAGATTTGAATGTTGATAGATCTGTATGGCAAGTTAGATTAAGACATACTGGGCAAGAGAGAATGAATAAGTTAGCCAAAGAAGGTTTGCTATGTTCAATCTCTAAAGTTTCTTTACCTACTTGTGAACATTATCTAATAAAAAAAACATGAAAACCATTCAGCCTTATGTACCAAACTTCCATTGCAGTTAGTTCATTCAGATATATGTGACCCGATGAATATGTGGGTAGGACATGAAGTCTCTTATTTCATTACTTTTATAGACTATTTCACGTGGTATAGTTATGTCTCTTTAATTGCTCATAAGTCAAATGCATTAAAATGGTTTAGACTATACTTAAATGTGGCAGAAAATTAAATAAATAGAAAGGTGAAAGCTTTGAGAATTGATCGAGGACATGAATATCTATCTGAAGAATTCAAAGAACTATGTAATGATAAAGGAATCATTAGACGGTTAACTATTCCCAACAACAAAATGATGTTGCTGAAAGGAGGAAGAGAACGTTGCTAGAAATGATGAAGTCTATGATGGCACAGGCTAACTTACCTATTTCCTATTGGGAAGATGCTTTATTAACTGGGACATATATTTTGAATAGAGTTCCCTCTAAATCGATACCTACTACACCATATTAGCTTTGGATTGGTAGATCCCCTGATTTGGGATCTCTTTGATCTTGGGGATCAACTGCCTATATCCATGATTTCTCAAACAAATTTGGAAAATTGGGTCCTCGAGGAAATAAATGTATCTTTATAAGATACACATATTAGTCTAAAGGATATGTGTTCATAAGTGAAAATCAAGATGGTACTATAACTGAGGTAGAGTCGCATGATGTGACGTTTCTTAAGAGCGATTTTCCTAGTGGGGGAGAAATGAAAAAAGGAGAACCTTTGTATGAATTAGATGATAGAGTTGTACTTGATAAATCATCTGAGTTGAAAGAGAAAACACTTCCACCTATCGATCCAAGTTGGAGTAATTTAACTACAACTCCAAGTGATAGGGTCGGATCGAAGCTTTCACATATGAAATGAACTCATTAAATCCAGAATCCATTCCTCGTCAGGCTTAGATTTCATGTTAGATACGGTCAACACCACATCTATGCCATCCGAAAAGTCCTTTGCAATATTTATCTCATTCAAATTATCTAATTGCTTTCCACGATTTGTAGCTAAATTACCTTTAGCCTGCAACTTATAATAATCCTTCTTAACGCGTCCTTTTCTCTTGCAATAGAAGCAATACTGATTGCTGAAGTTCACCCTCAACCTACCCCTCTGTCGATGCAGCTCCAACCAAATGTTTCATCTTCTCCTTTGAGAATAAAGCAGCATAAACAATGTTGATGGTGAGTGTGTCATGACTATACAAAATCTTGTCCCAAAATGACAAATACGAAGCAGGCGGCGAGCACAACAAGATCAAGGCCAGATCCTCTTTATCATACTTAACCTTCAACGTTTCTAGATCAACGACAATTTTCTTGAACACATCCAGGTAATCTTCCAATGATCCTCCTCATACCATGTAATGAGAATACAGTCTCTACTTTAGATTCAGTTTACTCGTAAGACTTTTGATCATGCATAACTGCTCAAGTTTTAACCACAAAGCAGTAACTATTTTCTCCTTCAATACGTCCTGAAGAATATTAATGGAGAGATGGAGATGTATCTGCAATAGAGCCTTCCTATCCTTCCGTTATTTCTCCTCTGTTGCCTGCGTTGTTGGCATCTTATTAAAACCTTACAAAGCATCATCTAAATCCATATGCGCCAAAATAGCTCTCATCTTTACTTGTCACAAAAAATACCTTGATTGTGATCCAACGGCGGAATATCATACCTCAAAGCAACCATCTCTAGGGAACCTCAACCAAAATACACAGCCTTTGCTCTAGTACCACTTATTGAAGGCGGAACAGCAATAAACCACCAGGTGATGGAGAACTGCCTTAAGATTTATGGAGCAATATGAAGTATACAAGATCACAATCATAGAAACAAGATTTAAAGTAAAGAACAAGAAGAGAAACTAAAAATGAACGATGTTTTATTAATAACAACTAGAGAGTACAAAGAACTGAGTAATAATGTTTTTTGACTTTACAAATCTAGAAAAATAGTCTAGTATTTATAGGGAACAATCCAATTCCTACAAATAGAGTTGTATATGAAATAAAATGTGAAAAGTTTTCTTATTTTGATCTTTTCAAGTCCAACAAAAATTCAACTTCCAATAGGACTTCCAAATAAAATTTTAATTAGAATTTGACAATTAAACTTTAATAGAATTTCACAATAGCATTCCAATTAAAATTTCTCTTGATGTGCACTTCAACTAGAACTATATAATTATTTCAACAGGAAATTCGGGTCACACCCAAATTCTAACACTTAATCCATTGAATTCATTTATTTTTGTGAAGGGTTCGTTCGAACAAGCAAAGTGCACAAATTCTTTCACTGTGGGATATTATATCTATGGCCTACCAGTAGCATCCTTAAAGATGGGAGGTATTAATCATTTCCATGGTTAAAAGGAACACTTAAATTTTTTATGTATAATTCAAGTCTCAATGACTGCAAATACAATGTCAATAAGTTTCTCATATTACGTCAGAAAAAATTGAGGGGACGAAAAGAAAAAAAAAATGAAACTACAAATTTTATGTATGTTATTGCTCAACTTCAAACTAACCATAAATAATGATTTCAAATCTTATCTAGTGGCGCCTGGAACAAAAGCTCAAACCTAACTGGAGATCTAAACATTCGAATTTCTGCTTAGAACTAGGCAAATAAGAAGGGTTGCTGACAAGCTTGGTGGTTCTTGATTTGCCTGCGTGTGTAAGAGTGAACCTGGAGTGTTTATCTTGTGCAGGCAGGGCCGCGGCAGCAGCGGACATGGAAATCTCGTGGCCGTTGATATCAGCCTCCACTCTACAATTGTAGGGGTGGGAGTTGATTTGCGACTCCTGGTAAATCGCAAATCCCGAGCGATGGAAATTGAAGTAATGGCTATTTTGAAAAGGTTGAGTGAAATAACTAATACTGGCTTTTCTTGCTTGAAGCTGCAGCCTTTTTTTTCTCATTCTCTCCTTTTTGTGGGCATTTTGATGGCCTCCCAATGCTTGTGAATTTGCAAATTCCTTATAACAAAATTGGCACACGAATTTTTTGTCATCTGTTGAACTTTTCGCTTCCGAAACATGTTTTTGATTTGTCACAATAGAGGAAGACGACGATGAATTTACACTTTCATCCCTTTCTGCAGAAGGATTTTCATGTGGATTAAGCTCGAAACCGAAAAGTTTGAGCTTTTTGGGAGGGGATGCATCGGTAAATTCATGAACAGAAAAATCTTTTCCCATTTATAATCTACTCTGAGAGTGAAGAAAAAATTAAGGTATTTTTGTAAGAAATGATGCACAATTTGAGTTATGCCCCTCTCTTCCTTATATAGTAAACTGCATCCTATTGGTTTTTGGCTATATATGTATAATGCAATACATCTTTATATTATAAGATCATTTTATATTCATGAAGAGCATAAATGTACCAAGGTCAATTAAAAAAGCATAAAAATGAATAGTCAGATTAGGGAAGTTGTCTCTCATGCAATATTGTTTTCTGCATTTTTTTTTT